ATCTAGACAAACGATGATTCATACTATTCTATATTCTATACATGTTTCGTCAAACATATCAATCAGGTCTTTTATCTATTCTTTCAAGTCAAGGATCAAAACCATTTCAAACTTGGATATGTAAAGTATCAAATGGATATATTAAACGAATTACAGATGAAGATATAAATTCACTGGTACTTGAACTTATTTCAAATAATGTTAGGTAAGAAACTTTAATTAATTTATATATAATGATAGAACAAAAGTTTAATAACAACATATTTTTGATGTTTTTTTGCTATAATATTAAGCAATTAGCTGAAAATCCGATAATAATTTTAATTATCAATGGAGTTTTCTATGTAATAAATATTCTACTCAATGAATTTTTGATGACGAGATTTTTATAAAACCGGAAACGATATTTTTTCACATCCTCAAAGCTATATTTTTGACAATGCCATTTAAATGTGCGTAAAGTGACGAGTCGCCGCATTTTCTACAACTTTCTCTGAAAAAGTTTTAAAAAAATCATAAACATTTTTAAAAACAATGAAAGAAGTTGTTGTAGCAAGACCGTTTTTTTTCTGCCTATGGTTTTTTTTTTATTCGAAGCGTATCAAAAGATTGTTAGGAGTGTTTCTTGCGATTTAGCTTTGCAGTATCTTGGCACTAGCCTTTTGTTCCTTGTGGCCTCCCTCAAGATTTTTAAAACGCTTTTTTTTCTCATATTACTAAAAAATTATATCTACTAGACGTGGTATTTCGCCTTGATGACAAATATCATATTTCAAATCGAAGACAATCGGATTTCAATAGAGAAAAATGTATACTACTAATAGATTGATCGCATAGTAGTTTTTGCGTCACACAACTCTTTTTTTTTCCTATCATATGCCTAAATATTTGGGTAATTTTCTGAAATAAAATATTCGGGTAATTTTCTGAAATATATTACAATTTTACAAAAAACATTAAAATATTGTTTAAAAAAATCACTTTTTTGACTTTATGTCGGGATTTGTATTACACGAAGAAAAGTCTTGTGTCACGATGCCATATTCATAGTACAACATAGTTTTTCATGTGCTATTCGAATATGTGTTCAAATCGGTAAAAAAAGATTTTTTATCAGGTTTTCAGACACTCTCTGATAAAGCAATTCCAAAATATTAAAGAATTTAGGACCTTCGATCTTACTACCGTGTTCAACATATCTCAAAACCTATTCCTACAAGTTTTCATACCATGAACTTACGCTAGACAATAGAAGTAAAGTTGAAGATCTCCTGAATACAATGGCATTGTCAAAAATTCCAGATTTTCTAAGTTCATGTAATCAGTTTATCAGAGGATCACTTGAAACTTGATATCAATGTTTTTTTTTCTGATTTGAATGCATATTCGAATAATGTATGAAGAACTACGTGATACTATTTATATAGCTTTTTGGCACTAGACCATCGTCGAGTGGTATGAAGTTCGATAAAAAGTCAAATAGCTCATTTTTAAAAATATTTTTATGTTTTTCCTGCAATTATATAAGACCTTTCTACAGCTAATTTTACTTATGATGAATAGAGAAATTCATTTTGTGTGACTGCTCTATATTTTACAAAACAAGCCTACTCTGTAGGTATATTTCTTATATGAAGAGTTGTGAGACGAAAGACTATTATACGATTAATTTATTAGTATTATACATTTTTCTCTATTAAATGCTTATTGTCTTTAATTTAAAATACGATATTCATAATCAGCGCGAAAAACTGCGTCTAGTGCACATAATTTTGTAGTAATTTGAGAGAAAAACCTTTTTGAAAAACCTAGCGAGACCACAGGGGTCGAAAAGGTTATGTCGAGATCAAGCAACGCCAAGTCATAGAAAACACTTTTAGCAACCTTCTGATACACTTTCTCCGATTGAAAAGAAAATACAAAAATTGTAGGTGAAAAATGATCTTGATATAACACTTCTTTTCGTTTTTTTACAATTTTTATGATACTTTTAACTTTTTAAGAGAAACTCGTATGAAATGTAGTAACCCATCATTTTGTGCTCTTTAATATTAAATTGTTAACTAATTGTTTCTGAGATCTGAAAACTATCGTCTCCGATTTTATAGAAAACTCTATTGGATATTAAAAACATTATTTCGATTTGAACTAATTACTTTACATTATTGAAAAGATTAAAAATGCATTGTTGTCTCACGAACTTATATATTTTGTTTAGTTCGACTTATGTCACTTGTCCATGTTGTCCGTATGAATCACTTGGTATTAAAATGCAATATTTAAATTTATATATAAAAAATTTACGACGTTATTTTGTTATGGAAATTGAAGTGAGTATTATTTCTTTTTCTGTCTTGTTTAATCAAATAAAAAAAAACCGCTAATTTTATAGGTTTTAGATAGTAAAAATATGCATCGTCGTTTTAAAATTTCAACATTTGCAACTAAAACAAAAATTGGTCCATTTGGTACGCATTCACCATTAACTTGGATTGAAGGTTGGAATCGTTTAACACTTAATCTTGAATCATTTACCACAACAGTTTATGGAACAAATTATGTTGAATGTCGACGAATAACGGTATTGTATGAATTTATAATTAATGAAAAAAAGAATATCTCAATTTAAAGATTCATGCAAATTGTCGTATTCGACGTGTTTTCTTTGCTGATCGAGTATACGATATTTAAATTAAAATATAGAAAAATTATATTGAATATTTTAGGAATATAAAGAAGAAGAATTACCTTTAGATTATCAAATTCGATGTCATATTGACCGAGCTAAACATTATGTACCTAAACAACGTATGTTTTCATCAAATAAATCTACATATAAATCAAAAAGTGATCAAAATCAATTAACAAAAATTCTTCCAACACCATCAAATTTAGTAAAAAGAGAAAAATTCTTAGACACAAACACAAAAAAACAAACAAATATTTTAATTTATTTCTTTTTCAATAGTCACAAGTACAGAATCAATTAATTGATTCGACTAAAAAAGAAATAATTAATCAATTTACACCTATCGAAGAAATACCAAGTAATGAACGAATTATCAATGCTCCACAAGGTTCAATTGCATCGGATGTTCAAAAAGTAGAAGATCTAAATGATAATGATAGAAATTCAGATATTGAACAAATTTATAATCAACAAACAATACACGATGATGAACCACCTATACAAAGTGATGAGCAACCAATACATAATGATGAACAACCGATCATTGATACTATAAACAATCTTAATCTTGATTCTGATCAGGTCAGTTAAATAAAATTCTCAAAAAAGAAAACTTTAGTTTCATTACCCAGTTTACCCTATCCAATAGGTTTTAAGAGCTCTATTTTATGTCACATGAACTCTAATGGAAATATTACAAATAATGAGTAGTCTTAAGAGAATAGGATACTTTTATTTCTTTATTGTTTGTTTGAGTGATGCAGACTTAGTTAAGAGGCTTTTCGTTATACCATTCAATAGAGCATTGTTTGCTCTACAAAACTGTTTATCTTGTTTTTCAAATGAGTATTTATTGTCGACTGAAAATAGAAAAACTTAACAGCTATTACATCGCCCAATCACGATCTCCTATTTTTTATACACATCTATAGTATGTGTGTCAGTCTATGCTCAACAAACTCTATGCTAAAAAGAAAATATTTATAGAAAATTTTATACTCTATATTTTCACCATGGTTTCAAAACTTTTGATGCTATTGTTGAATAGCAAAAGACTTAGAACTAAATCCTGTTGGTACTTTTTTAAACTGAACAAATAAAACTTTTTTTATTTTTTTTTTCCGCATTAAAACTAAACAATTTCATAGACTTATGTATAAAACTTTGAAAAGTACATTAGAAGAAATCGCATTTTATACGTATAGAATCTCATATCACATTTGAAATATCAATGAAATTGCTATTTGAGAAATTGTCGCACTTTTCAATCCGTATACCTGGATGAATGGAATACCTGTGAACTTTTTTCTTGACAAAAAACAGTTTTGTAGAACGAGAAACTCTCTACCGAAGGGTATAAAAACAAAGTATTTTCATTAGAGATGTTTGGAACTGTGGAAAATAGAAGTGCCCGAGACCGGAATCATAACTATAGATTATTTTAAAGTATTCTATAATTTTACATGAATTATCTTATCAATCATCAATCAGAACATGATTCAAGAGAGATGATCCAAAACAATGCTGGTCGCCAACAAAATAAATCAAAACCTGAGTATTGATGAATCTTTTTAGATTTACTATGAATAAAATCTGGAATCATTTTTTCTACGTCGAGATTTCAAAAACTAAAATCACTGGATCGGATCCTGATCAGATTTACTCGGAGTATAACCGAGGTTCCACAGAATCTGAGTTCGCCTATTGCTACTCTAAACTTTGTCTGCGCTGCGCAAGAAGATGAGTACCTTTTGTTTTCTGGACTACTTGTTATATTGAAAAGGATGAAAAACCAAATGTTCGGAAATCCTAGCGCATATCAAAAAGTGCAAAATTTATTGATATCAAGCTGTTATACACTCAGAAAAATGAGGAAAAACACCGATTTATTTATTTGCCTTTTTTTTTCTTGTATTAGAAATCATTCGATGATATTAATTTCTCATCAAATGCTTATCGACAACGATATTTCAATATATTTCATCGACAATATTTCAAATAAATATTTTTTTTCTTTTGTTCTTTTTTGATTGAATATCGAAAACTGAAATAAAAACCAACAAACAAAGAAATAATGAAAAACAAATGGAAGTCGCATTTATGAAAATATACAAGTATATATGTGAGAAAAAAAATAGGAGAAGAAAAAAAAAACGTCAAAGAATTGAAAAAAAAAGTTATACAACACACATGCACACACATACAGATATCTTTTGTTAATGGTGTTCTAGCTCGCTTATAGTGAGTTTAGATACTATTGCAAGTTTAATAAACCTGAAAAGAAAAGTCTTGTTTTTGTTTATAATTTTTTTTAAAGATAAGTTGTTACGGTTACATCCTGGCGTTGTGAATGAGATCTTGTTTGTCCTCCTCCAGACGATGATGGAATCTAAAATTGATTAATAAAAAAAAAAACAAAATACTAAAAATTTGGAGAACGAAAAAAAAAGCACGATTTTACTTGTTGAGCATTATGATGATGAAAATGATAAATATTTGTTGATAATGATGGTGATAAACCATTTCTTGATATAGGTGGTGAAACAATATAAGCTGATTGAACAGGTACTGTATGTTGTGGTGTATGATGTTTATGAACATTGACTTGATTTAAATACGGTTGTTGACGATGAGGATAATCAGAACCATTTATATTTGATTGAAGACCTTAAATAAAAAATAATAATCAATTGAAAATTTATTATTTACACTTACCACCAGAACCTGTTGAAATATAAGGTCCATATGGGTAAATTTGTTGTTGTTGTTGTTGTTGTTGTTGTTGTTGTTGTTGTTGCTGTTGTGATCGATTACCTCCTCCTCCATTTGCTGCTACACCATTTGCATTAGTACTATTATTAACTTGTTGAATCCATCTTATAATCGGATCTTCGACTATAGCTGGAGGAGGTCTTACGTTTGATGATGATGAAGTCGGAGGAGGATGATGATATTGATGTTGTCCATTTATTTTACTTATTTGTGGTGTATAAGCTGGATGTTTCATAAAATTTGATGATGCTGATTGAATTGATACACGTGAACCAAACATATCTAGACCTGTTTGTGTTGCATTTGTTGTTTCCGATGTACCTATAGAAGATAAATTAAGCATGGACTGATGAAATTGTGGTACAGTTTGTTGATGTTGACGAATTAATAAACCATTCGAAGATGATGGACCATTTGGATTTGTTATTCCAACATGTACACCCGGTTTATGTACAGATTCTGCTCGTTTTACATTAGGCACCGGTGGTGGTTGCTGTTGTTGTTGGTGGTGTTGTTGAGTTTTATATAAAACATTATTACCATTTGTTAAACCAAGTGGATGAATAATATTTTGTGTTAATAAAATAGGACGTTGTATATTATTTCCATTTATTTGATTTGATGATAATGGTATTGGTGATTTAATAAGTTTTGATTGTTGCGATATTAGAGGTTTAAATGCACTATTACCATTTTGATGATGAGTATTAATTTCTGGTTGTGTAAATGGAGTTGAACGAGTCATTTGAGATGGACGAATAATTGATGGTTTGATAAGATTATCTATAAAAAAAAAAAAAGACAACAACAAAAAACAAATTTTTCAAATGAAAATAAAATAAAAAATTTTACTTTGTTGTTTTTGTTGATGATGATTATTATTATTATTAATTGATGTTCGATTTGGTGAAAAAGATTTCGTATCCAAACTCTCATATGTTTGATTTGATAGTGTTGATTGTTGTTCAAGTTCAGGTTCTTCTTTTAATATAGAATTTTTATCTGATGGTGGTACAAAACGAAAACGTGGTCTTGATGATGGTGCTGGTTGAATTTGTTTATTTGACGATAATTTATCAATAGATGTTAAATCAATTAAACTAGCACTTGTACCATTTGATGTTAATGATGATGTATGATTTGTTTTATCAAGTAAAGCTGAAAGACGTGCTTGTGGTGATAATTTTTTCCATGATGGTATATTTGTTAAATCTTCTGTTGATGTTGTTATTGATGTTGCTGTTTGTGTAGGTGGTGGACGAGAATTTTTTTGTTGTAAATTTCCTTTTGATGATGAATTAATATCATTAAGATTATTTTCTGATGTATAACGACGAACATTATTTGTTGAAGAATTTGTTGCACCTGATGTCAATTGTTCAAAACGATAACGTATATTTTGAAATTGATGAAAATGTGAAGCATGAATATCAACTGGACGTTGATGAAGTTTTTGAGATGATGATGAAGATGATGTTGATGTATTTGTATTACTTGATAGATTACCCTAATATAAAAGATTTTTATTATTATATATATAAATATATGTATACAATGTTAAGAATTCTTTCCCTGAATTAATAAGATAATTAAATATCCTTTCTATGGTCCTAGACAACAGTAACTGCTCTTCATAAATTGCTACTGGTTTCTATAAGATTGAATTGATATATTCGGTATAGACGTGAAATTGTAAACCCTAATCACAAGCATCAACCTACTAAATATTATCGAGGAACACCTTATTAGAAAAGCAATTGTCGTAGATATCTATTGTCAGAGTTTCGTTAGAAATCATTTTACAACAAATAAGATATTGTCTTTGCATTAAAGATGTTTGTTAAAGAACAAATGATAGCTTTTAATGAAATGGATCTTTTCCATTATGACTTGGATCGATTTTATTATTCAAAAGTTCCTATGAGACAACAAATCTTTATTAAAAATTTTACAGCCGTAGCATTGAGTGAAGTCAAGTTAGCATTACTACACGAGTATAATATTTCAGAATGTATAAATTACTAAGACCTTGATTGTATATCACAAGCTTTGATGATACTAAAGTAGACATATGAGACTGCATGTGGTGCTAGAAAAGAAAACAGTAGCAGCTTGCGATCGAGGTTTGTATCGTTACACACATACATCCAAAATATCATCAAGAATAATATCATTTCGTGAGAAGGGGGTGGAGCCTATATTTGTCCAGGGGATTGTAAATAGACCTAATTATTATTTTCGTGATCCTAAAAAGCATTATACGAAATGAAAAGAGCACTGAATCTTTGAAAATCAATATTACTACTGTATATGTATACTCAAACACCAGAGATAGGATCAATTCGTCTTTGTTTCGAAACCGAAACAATCTTATCTCTTTCAGGTTCAACAAACATAGTCATAAACGATCGTTATATGTCGAATCATTCTTTTTTAACATAAATACAGATGTACTTTCATATGTTATGATTATTCAGACATTTTTGTATTTATCCGACAAGGTTCCCACATGGTACGCATTATTTTGAAGAGCTTAATGGAAGTAACATCTCGTATAACTAGGCATGCATTCAAAGTCACTAATAAAATTTGAATATTTCAAATTTATCTAATTAATTATGAACTATTTCAATAAATTGTCGTATCATAAATATAGAAGAATTTCTGTTTTTGACTATCAAACAGAAAATGATAAATTAACCGTTTGGCTTCAAAAGAGATTGAAAGAAAACTCAAACTCATTGGTTTTGTATCTGTTTATCAAATTCAGCACGTAATCTAATAACGTTGTTGGAATCTCTCATTTGACATTCTCCAGTTTGCACTCTCCTACTTCAAGTGTCTATCAACGAAAACAATTTGTATCATTTGATTCATTAAATAAGCGCATTTTTATTTATTAAGGCAAAAAATATCTCAAACAGTTTCGATGCACGTCTAAGTGTAAATAGTTCACCTTCGCAATGACGTCTTTAGGAGCTACGAAGCATTCTACTACTTGCAAAATTCATTATGAAATTCTTCAAATGATAGATTTTCAGAGAATACAGAGCCTCATAGTTCCTTCAAATTTTTGTATGAAGACGAACACTTTGATACCAAATATTCTATTTCATAAGATCTACACAGTAGGAAATGCATGAAACAAAGCAATGTGTAACTTCAGGTGACCTTGCCTCTTCAGAGAAGTTAATGGTACTAATCAATCAGTGATTACTAAATATTTTTCAAGATTAAAGAATTATCGTAAATGATTTTAAATAAGATCACTTGATTCAAAATGCATCCACTTTCGTGACTCAAAATTATTTGTTTTCATTTTTGGTTTTATATGGACATTGTATAGTTTGAAGTAGTATTTATCTATTGAATATATTTTGAAATTCGAAAATTGTCTTTAAATGTTACAAAATTCGAGAAGAAATCAAATTTACATAACGAAAATTGTACATTTTTTCACATTTTTCTCAAAACAATCTTATCATGAAAAACAAAGTACAAAAAAATGTCTCAATTCCTTCGACCTTGTGCGCCCGATCGAGCTGAAAATTTTTCTATAGGTGTTACGCACTATTTCGAATGCGTATTTTTTTTCATACATGAAATATTGTCCTGTTGATTATTTGTAGATGTCACAAAAAAAAAAAAAGTTCTATTCAAATACAATATGCGTTTTTTTTTTGGGTACCTTCGATATTTTAGCTTTCAAGGACAAAAAAATACTAACATATTCACTTCAAACAGTGTCTAGTGTCCGTAAAAAGGTTTTCAGCTTAATCGAACATAACATCTCAGAGAAACGGAAGTCATTTTAACGACAGCATTTGGAATGACAATTTTGTGCTCTACTCACCAAGATCTATTTGCTCTGAAAATCTTAAGTTTTTCGAATGAAATTTTCTTCAGAAATTTCAAAAAAGAAATATCTTTAAGTTCAAGAGACAATGTCTAAACTTTTATATTTATCGCATGAAACTTACATCAAATTCTTGTTTAACTTGTTGAAGTGTACTTCCATTAACATAATTGTTTGTTTTTGCTTGTTGATTATTCATAGATGTATTTGATAATTGTCGATCTAATTTAAATGACAAAATAACTTTAAGTTACGTAATAAGAAAAACAATCTTATTTTTTAATTTACTTTTACTTTCATCAGTTATATCTTGATCACTAAGATATGGATCAATGATTGAATCAAAAAAATTCAATGTTTTTTCAATTTGTTCATCATCGGCATCAGTATTTTTTTGTTGAACATTTTGTTTTATTTTACGTCTTTTATCATATTGACAATGATTATCCATTTTAGTTTTATATAATTGACCGGTTACAGAAATATCATCACAAAATTTTCTTATAAATACTACTTGTAATTGATGAATTTCACGAAGACGACTATATTTACGTCGAGCTAACCAACCACGTAAGACTATATAGAAAAGATAAGATTACGAAATCAACATTCAATTATTGATTTTAATTGCTTTTTAAAGAAAAGAATGAAAGAAAGAGAGAAAGAATGTTGATCGATCAAATGAGTATAAAAGTTCAGATGATTAAGAATTTTAATTCATTTGAAATAAAAGAAAAATAAAAAATAGATCGACTTAGTTGTTGTTTTTCTTTCGCTTTTTTTTCCTATTAAATGCGTATCCATGTAATGTTTGTTCATGGATTAATAAGAGACGTTCTTAAAGCTTAATATGGATCTATGATTATTGATGCAACCGATTTTTTTTTAATACTACCTGTCGTTTGATCATTTTTATCACTTCGTTTTTGTAATGTTTCTATGAAATATTTTAATTTCTCCATTGAAATTTTATAACGAAATGAAAGTTCATTTTCTTATCATGAGAAAATTTAATGAAAATAATAAACAAGTCAATGTAGATGTGTTAATGAACAGTTGTCTATATAAGCAAGATTAAGGATCAAATGACGACGACCTTCTCTCTATCAAAACGAGTGCGAACAACGAGAGAAAAAGATATGTTGTTTTCATTTTTCACCCTTTGCCTGTAGTCTTATCTCTTTTCTCTCCTTTTTTTTCTCTAGTTGGCTTTTAATGAGTTCATGAGTCCATTATACGAGTATGTATAAATTGAACTTGTGTATACTCTTTCCTATCGATCATAAACGAGATTAGATTCATCGATACTGTTCGTCTGTGTCTGTCGGTCTTATCAATCACTTTCTTTCTTATTGCTGCTGTCTATCAATATAATGGCATCCATGCATATTATCGTATGCACATACCTTTCTGACAAACATTGACTTTTTTTTCGTATTGTACAGCTAGGTTATGCAGTTGATCTGAGTGCCAATAACGAAATAGTAATTTTGTACGACCAACCTTAAATCAAAAGAATAAACAAAATATTAAAAAAAACAGCATGTAAATATGTATGTACATGATCAAGTGTCTTTTCTCTTTATAGCAAGAGAGCTTTCTTTTAGGACTACTTGTTCCCTTTTTTTTCTTCTTTTTACTTCAAACAGAACAGAAGAAGAAGAAGAAAAGAAAAACGTGTTGGACTTACTTTATAATTGTCAATGCCGGCCCGTTTTAAACATTCAATGGCCCTATCACGACTATATGTTAGTGATGATAATGATAACTCTTTTGACCGGTCATCGGCAGTAATCGGCAATAGACATAGAACGAGAGCATTGTATCTAATATGAACAAACGGAAAGAAATAAAAAAAGAAAAGAAAAAGAAAAGTCATAAATCATATCCCTACAACCAAATGTGAATAATGATGAGGCAAAGGAGTGAGCTCAATAATCAATAGTGACATAAAAAAAAAAAAAAAGACAAAATATTTAGTATAATATCGGTTTTGCATATATCATAGTTGCACACATGGAAATATAATTTGCCTGAAAAAAAAATACTTTTCTTTCTACTAAATTGTTTAAAACAGTACAATTTCAGCTTTAGGGTTTCTTTTTTTTTTTTGCATTTATGAATGTATATACTCATCTACTCATTTTTTTTTTCTTTATATATCAAAAGAAAAAAAAACCGTCTGTTTAGTATTCACAACTATTTGTTATGCATACACACACGAAATAAAAAAAAATATTTTGTATATATATATATATATATGAAGATCAGTTTCATCGTTTATCCGTTTCTCATCGTCGTTGAATGATAAATCAAAACCGATACAAGCACCTGTTTTATCGACGGTCTGATGTCACAAAGAAGAAAGAGAAAAAACTTGTAGGAGGAGAAATATATCTACGATGACATTTACAGTTTGCATACGCCATTCTCTCTACGATCGATCTTAAATATAGAAGGGTAATATTGTCTCACCTATGAAGAAATTCATCAAATTGAATTCTTAATGGATATCCTTTCTTTCGAATTTCACACATTTGAAGAACACCAGAATAACGTAATTGACGTGTTACACAAGGAACAGTTAAAGATGTTGTTTTATCACGAAGTTCATTAGGTTTAATACATCGAACAAAATGACATTGACATGCAGACATTTTATCAATTAATTCTGATAATGAATGCTAAAGTAAAAAAAGAAACGAAAAAAAATTTTTTTTTTCATTTATTTATTTATTTATTTATTTATTTATATATTTGGTTAATTGATAAAATATTGAATTTGATGTTTTATATTGTTCTATTTCAAAGACAAAATTTTGTTACGATAAATGTAGTCTATATATATGAATAATGCTTTTGACATTCGGTGGACTTCTCTTGTTTCTTCTTTTCTTCTGTACGAAATTGTTTCTTGAATAATCATCCATAACGTTTTATTATTAAAATGATTTATTTCTATGCATTTATTTAAGCGATGTTTATTTGAATAGAAAGTTTGACAAGAAAATAAAGTTTTTATTCTTACAAAGACAAAACATAAAAATTAATGAGCTCAAGAAAACATACAAAATAAAATATGTTTCCAAATTTAGAGACGTATAAATAGACTTAAGTGATTGTTGGCGTAAACATATGTGTGATTGTCTTTAAACTTGCAAGACTCATTGGTATTTTTATTACATTTCTAACAAATGTTTTCATAAATCATTCTTTTAGAGAACAATAAGCATTTGTGATTACGGGAATAAAAGCGTACAAGGTCAATAGAAGCATACGTTTTATTTCCGAATAAACTAACAATCTATGGAATATTGCATTTCTATGCATAAATTAAAATAGTTTTCATGTGTCTATTATTGACAAAAGAAATTGTAAATATTGTTACACGAAAGTATGAAATAACTAGAAAACTAAATTGATGAATGGATCTCTGCCGGAATCGGAAAGTCTGCATCCGACACGTCATCGTTACTTATTGAAAGGTTTCTTTTTTTTCATTTATGAAATAAAACGGAAACCATTTATAAGTTATAACAAAGAATCTATACTTGAAACTAATATTTCAAAAAAGAAAGATGATAAATGTATTATTGAAGTAGAAAAGATATATTTATTGAAATTTTTTTCTTATATAAATAGAATATCATATACAAAATACTTTATAAGCTCTCATATAGTACATTTCTTATGTTCATATTATTATCATTAAAGTGAGATAATATTCATCAATAATATGTCATTTGAAAAAATATAAAGTAATTTTTATATAGATTCAAAATTTATGAAACATTCTGATATTTTTTTATCACAATAAAATTTGGTCAGTGGGTACGAATTCAATCCAACGGATCACACTCTAAAAGTAATAGCTAGTTGTGACTTGATTATTATACGAGAACGTCATCAAGATTGTCTGAGAAAGATATAGAGCGTACTACTATCAGAATACCAATAATCGATAAAAAGTATCTCGCACGTTCAGAGAGACTATTTGGTAATGATTCGTCACAATTGGCTACCTATTTTGCACATAAATAGTAAACTTGCAATATAGGAAAAGTCCATGATTAAATGGGTCCATGCTGTAATTTGACTGAGATGGAGAAGTTTTACTGCAATCTTTCTGTAGGACTCTAATTTTCGAACTTTGCAGATATAGAGACTACAATTAGACTTGTTTATACAAAAAAATTTCAAAACTATTCCATGTACCATAACCACAATATCAATTTCTCAAAATATAGGCGCTTTATACATATCTTGATGATGCTACATAAAACAGTTCTGAAATTATTTGTACAAACAACTTTAGTTGCAGGCTCGATATGTACAAAGTTTGAAAATATGATTTTATTGGAAAAACAGTGTCCTACAACAAGATTTCAGTAAAACTTCTTTATCTTAGTCAAATCACTACATGGACTCATATGATCTTGGATTTTTCATAGTCTACAGGTCTGCCACTTATGAGCAAAATATGGAGTCAAAAGTGATGAGTCACTTCGAACGATTCTCTCATTAATCGTATCAGCTATCTCTTAAATGAATTACGGAATTGACTAAGGTTATGACCAACATCAGAGCTTTATTATGTCGTCAATTACTAGTAAATATAAATAAAATTTTTCATTTCATTGATACTTATCTGACTTACTTTAAAATGAAAAGCTACTGTTCTCATCGCTGTTCCACCAGTTCGTTCAAAAGTATTTCCATTTGTTTTTTCTGGTAATGTTCTTATTGGTTGTTGCATTTGTGATGATTGTTTTCCATTATGATTCAATGATGGATCATTTCGTTTTGAATCTCTATGAGCATGAAATGTATTTGGATGATGATGATGATGTAATGAAGGTGATGGTGGTAAAACACCTTTTTCATTTAAATTTAAACGAAATAATTCTTGAATTATTAAATTATTACTTGCTAAAAGAATTTAAACAAAAACAATCAATTAAAAAAAGAATTTTTTTTTTGTTGTATTGATTCAGTTTTACTTCGAGCAACGAAAACAATTGAATTAGGAAGAAAATCACGATTTTTTTCTAATAATCCAACAATATTATATACAACAGGTGCTGCATAATGACGTATAGTAAATGTAGTACCACCATCTTTTGGTATTGAATATATATCACGAAATTGCACTCCAGGTCCATGATGAAGTTTAGTTGCTAATGTTTGATCTGTTGCTTGTGGAAAACGACTTTCTTCATCTAATATAGCTAATATACCTGAGTGTTTCTAAATAAATTCAAAATAAAAAAACAAAAAAAAACAATGAATTGTTTTTGTTCGAGAAGATTTATATTTACATTGAAAAATGTTTCGATAATAAGATGATTATCTGTATAATTAATATCAATTGTATCAATACCTTCTTGTTGACAATCATGAATTTCCAAGTCATAGATATGTTGATTTAAAAATCGTTGCATATGTTCATTAGTTACATTTATACATAACTAAATTAAATATTTGAAATAGAACAATAACAAATCTTTTTTTTCCTCATATACCTGTTCAAAACTATTGGATTTAAAATTTTCAAAACCGAATATATCAAGGACGGATATTGTATGTGCAGAATTACTAGAAATAAAAGAATAGATTCGTTACTTTGTTAATGTCAACATTTTTTTCTTAATTCAACTATTAGAGTTCGGAATCAACCCAACGGATTCTACCGACGATGACATTTTTTGGTTTTATTTTATAGAATAGACGAAAATAATTCTATAGTTAATTTCATATGAAAGAAAGAATTGCAAGAATGATGGTAGAACATTTTTTAAAGAATGATATTTAAGCTAGAAACTTTTTTCCTTTTTGTCTCTATCGCTATTTCTGTTGAAGATATTTTAGACAAGTCAAAAACTTGTATTATTGTACTTCATCTTCAATTAAAGAGACTGAAAATTGGTTTTTTTTACTTAGTTCTTTACCAATAAACTAAGTAAAGTTTTAAGTATTTCTTTCAGGATGACTCACAAATAAATGGACAGTCAAAATGCTCAATATTTCCAGCCCATTTTGATCTATCGGTTTGTTTGTTTTTTCTCAATGATATAGTACTCATCAAAGTTTTTATTCACGAAGAAACCGTTAACAGATACTATTTTGAATTAGAACTAATGAGCTCTATAATGAATTTCAGTACTAACCGAAAGTATTTCTTTGTAATTTAAGCCGTTCTTAAGCCTACATGTATGAAATTTTTATTACATGTACTGCTTTAGAAATGTATACCGACAAGATTAACTAGGCCTTGTTGGCTTGTGTTGAAAAGGAGTTGTAACGAATGATAACTCTACTCACTATGAGTTCTAAGAAAGGTACTCATGACTTGATCAATCTATCATTATGTAAAAGATCCGCAACTTTTGAATGCTTAGATGAAACTCGATGAGATTTATAATGTTAATCGACACACCTTGAGTGCTACATAATAATAGGTTCGCTCAGTCATAAGTTATTTCCCTCCTTCAGTGATAGAACTCATAGAGAGAAAGGTTGCTAAAGATCATAAAAATTCAAACGAATGAGATCAAGCTAGTCTTATTGGCTAGAATTCTGAAGCTAGGATACACACTAAAAATTTCGTATATCTAACACGAGTGAGACTTGTGACCTTATTGAGATATTATATTCCATTGTGAAAAAGTTCAATATCGTGAGTTGTTTTCCATGAATTTTTGCTACCATCTATTCTGTTAAAACATATTATATAAGACTGATTGATGTTTTTATTACAATTTTTTTTAAATAATTTTTTTCTCAATTTTTACATGTTGAATCATTGTTCAAATTTCTGTCATGCGAGATTAAAAATAAACCTGAGATTAAACAATTCATCTAACATCGATCGGCATACGGATGAATGACATCTTAGTGAATGGAAAATAAACTCGTTAAAAAACAAGAAAAAAAAATATTGTGTTCTTTCTTGTTTATCAACACTTATTTAACACGCTACATATCATACACGATTTTTCATTTTGGTTGATCTTCGACCGTTTTACAATACCACAGTATTACATGAAACTTTGCTTAGTTTACCAATTAATTGTCACCAATCATCATTTAAAATATCAGCATCAGAAAAATACCTTTTTGGTACATGAGAAAAAGAAAAAAAAAGTAGTGTCATGTGTCAATGTGTCACGCGACATTATAACCTACATAATACTTCGTACTTAAAGTGAACTTATCTATGTAGATAAGTTCAGTTCTTATATTAAATGCTGTAGAAATTATTGCAAACTAATTTTAAATTGGTTTTTATCGAAAACATTTTGGAGCGATAAAGTCAAAATATGCATATGAGTGAATTGTAACTTTTTGGTACAATTGGTATGAAAAAAATTAAATGCAGTATAAACAATTTCTGAGTAGTGTATACATTATTATACTTATTTGCTTAACTCAGTTATGAAAATGGCTTTATTCATTTAAAAGAAAATTCGAGTTATTTCTCAGTTCTTTACAGAGGACAGGAAGTCAAAAAAAGACGACAATGCATTCAAATTTGCTTGTCAATCACTGTACAAAATGAGTATAATGACGTTTTTTTCTGTGACAAAGTTGAGGAGAGTGAACTTTTTTCATCGGTTTCGTACTCAAAAAGTTCTCTTTTTATTTGTATAGTTTATACATCACCATCTCTATCACAAACAAAGTTAGAATTAAGTTTATGTCATTGTACACGAAAACATATAAGTATTTGTCAAACATTATGGAAGTTAGATGAAAGAATGAAGAAATAAAATTTGAAGCAATTATTTATGTTGATAGAGTATCGAACGCTTTACAAAGTAGACTAATTGTGGTTTTTTCAAATTAGAAAGATTCTTTTTTCTGTTTACATGTCAGTAAAAAAAAAACATGACGATTTTCTTTTGTAATGCATCTTTCATCACTCAATGACAGTATGAATTAAAAAGCTGAAATATCGTGTAGAAGTGTGATATTCGAAAAGGAATAATTTGTATAAAAAAAAAATGTCCAAAGCAGTAGAGAGAACCAGGAATTATTAACTGAATGCGACTAACATTTCAATCGTACGAAAAAATTGCATTACATTCATATATAGCGTAAAACACACTGTTATTGCGGACATCATCATTTAATTTCATGATGAATACTTTTGAAAAGTTCGAATGGTGTCTATCATAGAAACATTTTACTCTAGTTGACATTAATCTCAATCGCAAGGTATCCACAAAACACTTTGTTCAATCCTTGATACTATCAGTCATCCAATGACCTTGTTCAAGTCACTAACAGCTGTTTGTCCTAAGCAATTGAATGCAAGAACTCTTCGTCAGACTGGCCTTCTGTCCAGAACTACTGCTAATATTAGTTATACGAAGGACATTAGGCTATTGAATCTGCCACTAGGCTACATATTTCATACTGCAAGGTAGCCGAATTATACGGGTGTTCATTTTTCTCAATCGTATATTGAAACGTGTAAACAAAGTTCTCTTTATCTATAATTTCAGCGTATATGTATACATATATCTAGAGAATGTGTATTTATGAACTATTAAAGATTCTCATTTATCTAATAGTGGTAGACGGAGAAATTCTTTGTTTGCTTAAAATGATATGATAAATAATTAATGTTTTATATCTTAATAACTAAAATCACCTTTCATCTTCTAATGGTTGTAAATATGAATTAATTCCATTAACAATCCAACTAAATAATCTTCCATAAAGTGCTTTAGCAAATGCATCTCGACATTCGGATGCTTGAATAATATTTCTTTCACGAAATATTTGTTCACCACGTGTTACTTGTAATTCAGTAACTAATGCTGAACTAAATTCCATTGAAGATAATTGAAGAAGTTCAGCAACTATTTATAAAAAAACAACGTGACAATCTTTTTTCTTTTTTATTCGTTTTAAATTTCTTCATACTTTTATCAATTGTACCATTATTTTTAACACGTACACCATCATTTGAACCATGTGGAATAAAAACAATATCACCAATATGTAATATAGCTGATAGAATAGTAAATATTGAATGAACATCTTCAATAGAAAATCCAATAGATATTAAACTTTGTTTAACCATTTGAAATTTTTTTCTATATTCAACTTGTCTTGCACTATCCAGCTGAGCTAATTCAATATTATGTGACATATATCTAATTTAGTTTATAAAATAAAAGAAAGAAAATAAAGAATTTCGTTTTCAATATTTTATTTTACCGATGTTCACTCGGTATTCTTAAACCATTTCGGACTAACATATCATGCGATAAACCAGCAAATAAATAATAAAATATATGAAAATTTCCTTCATCATTATTATGTGATATAACACGAGATTTTTCAAGTAAATATTCTTTTAAATGAGCTATTAAAAATGAAAAAATATTTATTTTTGTATCAATCAAATAAGATTTTTATTTTTATTACCTCCTAAAACATTTCCTATTGGTGAAAAATGAATTTCAAGATATTTTCCAAAACGACTTGAACTATAAAAAATAAAAACGAATTAAACTTTAACATATTTAAATAATTGAGTTTTATTCATACTTATTATTAATATATGTTTTAGCATTACCAAATGCTTCCATAAGTGGATTAACCTAGAAAATTTTTCATTAAAAAAATAATTAACTAATCAAAAATTTTCTACTTGATTTATTTTCATATTAAGTGATGTTTCAACAGATAATGAACGACTAAGTATATGTTGAACAATATATTTACATGATTCAGTTTTTCCACTACCGGATAAACCTAATAACATAAACATGATTATTCTAAAAACAATTATTATTCTTTTATTTTGTTAATTTACCAGATATAACAACACATTGGGATGTTTTTTCTCGTAACATATTTCGATATAAGCGTTCAGCACATCCATAAATATGTGAGGGTAATGAAACAATTGATTCAGTATTTTTATAAAGTTCAGATATCTAAGATTGATTGATATTAAAAAAAAGAAAAGAAAAAATTAAAATTAACAATTTCTCTTTTTTTTATTACTTTTCGACCATATATAGGTAAGTGATCGAATGGATTTAAAGCGATAAGAATATCTCCAATATAAGTCTAAATGTTTAAAGGTATGAAAAAGAAAAAAACGAAAAGAAGAAAATATATTACATAGATTTGACCTTGTCGATAACGCATCTCCAAATCATAAAGTAAACTTTGTTCGGAGATCTCAGGTAATAGTGCCAAATCATCATTAGGTAATTTAGTTGGAAGTGACTAAAGAAGAAATTAAAATAAATTAAAGTTCTTACCAACAAGCGACTTATAACAACTATGGAATAATACATATATGTCTCAATTTTATTTATTACCTGAGAACGAAAAAATTCTTTTTTATTATTCTGATTATAATCATTCGAGACAGTTTTATGTATTTCAATAATTATCATTTTATCGATATAGATGATTACGACAAAGAAAAGAATATATGACAAAAGAAACCTATAGATAATTTTTTCTCGTACAATTTAAAAAACACTTCACAGATAAGTATTCGTCTATTTCATTGTCCAAACAATTCTTCTTGCGATACGCAATAAATTTAAAGAAACTCTTTGATGCAAGTCAATACACAAATACACTAAGTAAAAAGAAAAAGAAAAGAGAGACGAAAGATTCTTTATAAGTTCTGTCGAATAAACAGCACATGAATGAATACATGGTCATTTAAATGAGGATAAATATTGTTCTATGAAAGACACACTTTTTTAATAAATATTAAGAAAGAAAAAAAAAATGAAATACCTGTTGTAAATGGTCATTAGATAATTTTTCTGAATGATTTTCTTCATCATATGATACACTATTTCGATGATAATTAACGTCGGTTTTTGTCATGGCATGATATTTCTTTTTTTATTAAAATAAACTATCTTTTTTAATTAAAAAATTACGATATCTATATATAAATATAAACGAACAATTAATATGTATTCATCTTTGATGGACAGACAGAATGAATACAAATAGACATATGAGACACCAGAAAAAAGGTCACTACAATGTGTACGATGAATGTATGTGTGTCGATTTGTCGCTGATCGTTTTGCTTTTTTTTCTTTTACGTTAGTCTGTGAAAATGAATAGACTTAAATAAATAAATGTACCAAACGAGAAGCATTTTTGTGAAAAATGAATAATCATAACAATGATAATAATAATAGCGATAGTTCGTTTGCGTTTTGTTTCTTTGTTTGTTACGGTCGAATTTTGATTTTGCACATTTCAAGTAGTTCGCAAATGCTGACTATTCTTTCTTTCATTTTTCTTTCTTTCTTCTCCCACCTTCTTTTTTATCCTTGTATTACTCGGTTGCCTGCATTCTCGAGCATGTTTACCAAAATTCTTCAAATCCAAATTTTTTTTTATTCGCTTTCTCGTTCTTTTTTTTTTCTCTCTCTCTCTCTACTTTTATCAACTATCGAACAACAAAAAACATGATCTTCCATATGACTATTCGACAAGCAACCTTTATAAGTGTGTGTGTGTGCATAGACACTTATGAGACTAACTATAATATACTTCAACAATGTTACTTTTCAAAGAGACAGCAGACATCAATCATTTGATCTTTCGAAACGGACACAAAAATACTGATAAGAACAGAGAAATATTATTACGAAAAATAAAAAAAAAGCTCACCGGAGATTTATAAGAACCCATATCAACCATAAATGGTAACATTGTAGGCGCCATAACATCCGTATGTCTATGTATATGAGTGTGTCAATGGCGTTAAGTCGCCCTCCACGTCGCTTTTTTGTCACTCGATAAAGGATTACTTTCGACGACGGGTATCTTCTTTTCTTTTTTTCTCTTTACTTCGTCAATTAGGAGAGCGCTCACAATGACAACAACTCTCCTACCCTCGCCCATATTTGATCAAACCTCCTTTCGTCCATTACTTTTCTTCTTTCTCTCTCTCTCTCTCTCTCCCTGTATCGCATTCTTACGTTATATATATGCGAATGTGTATGTGTGTGCACGACTGGACCGATCAGAATCACACTAAATGATTTACTTTTTTTTTCTACCCATTATGTTGAAGTAATGGGTGAACATCTTTCGTGACGTTTTTCAGCTCATTCAAGCATAAGACAAGTCGTCAAGCATTTTGAATGATGATGCAATTATTGAGTAATAATAATGTATTCTATTAGCAGTTTGTTGTTTCTTATTCTAACACGGTGACATTATAATACAACAAAAAGAAAAATGATACAAATCATTTAGAGAAAAAACAATTAATTTTTGTTTTTCTGTATTAATAAGCAATATCCAGATATAGATACATGATAGTAAAATAAATTAAAATAGAAAATTTGATAATTGATTCAAGGTGAATCAAATGCAAATTTGGATTAGTTTACTTCCTGTAACATAAAGTAAAACTTAATTTCATGAAATAATGTTCAATCTGAATACTATTTTTTTTTTTTGAAAGAAAAGTTTTTAATGTTTTAAATATGTACTTATAAAGAAAAGCAAATAGATGAAGGTCAAGCCGTTTTTCTTTAGTTCTTACCACAAATGGAAAATGAAACTGAAAGCAATTACTATTAAAAACAAACATTATATTATGTCTCGTTTTTTAGGAACAAAATACCAAAACGTATTTTATACTACATTTAATCAAAAAACCTAAAAATTACTTTCTTTTTAATCTATAGTTAAGTTATTATAAGCTTGAATGTCGATTATGAACCTAACTTCAAATTATTTATTGCTGAACTCTAATAAGATCACATAAGTTTGAATCATTCAAAAAAAAAGTAATAATGTTTACGACTTCAATTCGAATGAAAGTTTTCTGTAATTTTATTCATCTACTTACTATATTATCATTGGTATAAAAATTTGATTTTTCATCGAAAATGTGCATAATTTTTATATCATCATTATCATTATCGTCATCATTGTTTAATATTTGAGAAATAAGTCTATAAAGTATTTAAAACAAATATGTCTTGTTTTTTTTTTGTTGCTATCTGAATCATAATGACTCACATTGATGATTTTTGTGGTATTGGTTTAAATAAAATTTGTAGATCATCATTATTATTATCTTCATCGGATAAACTATCAATAGTTTCTTCACGTTCTTCTTCTAAACTATCATCACTTTGTTCAGCACGTTTACGTTTTTCTTCAAATTTAATTTCAGCTTTGAGAAGTAATGTACGAATAAAACTATTCGATACACACACTTCTAAATAATAATACAAAAACAAATTATTAAATTGAAAAAAAAATTCAATTTATTACCACTTGGTTTTCGACCAAATCGGTCACAAATTGTTGGATTAGCACGAGCGTCAAGTAAAAGTTTAACAATCAAACCCTGATAAGAAACAAGAAAAACTCACATGGAAGACAAATGTCGTTAACGATGGCGGAAAAGAAAATTTTTTTTCTTTTTTTCCTGTTTCCTTACTTGTTCATGTTTAGCACAAAGATGCAATGCTGTAGCGCCCGTGTCGTCAACTTGATCTACGTTAACATAATGTTGTAATAGAAATTGAACTACACTTGAATATGCTTTGGCAGCAGCAATATGTAACTATAAGAACAAAAGAAGACTATAGATTTTTTTTTAAAACAAAAAAATATTTCTTTTCTACAAGAGTAATGCCATATTTATCAGGCTTATCTAATGGTTCATTTCGTTCAAATAATCGTTGACAATCAATAAGCATCGATTGTTCTTTATCAATACGAAAATGATCATGGCATACATCTTAAATAATAAATTTTCAAAAAAAAAAAAAACGATTTTTTTTTAAATAAAAATAAATATACCAGTCATTTCTTTCATCAAACCATTTTTTCGAATTATTTGTTGGTCGTTATCAACCTTAAATTTAATGATCAATAACTATGAAATGTTGAGAGTCATTAACATAGAACTTACTTTAAATTTTTTACCATATTCAATTGATATTTGTGGATCCATAATCAAGTTTGTTCATTATTTTATTAAACTATACAATGTCTTTTTGTGTTTCTTTTTGTTCTTGTTAGTCTAGTATTTCTATGTTCAACAACTTTTCTAATCGATCAACACCTATTGCTGTCATTCATCATTATTAGTTGATTGTCTAATAGGAGAAAAAAAGTGAAGAAAGAAAAAGATGAAAACGAAACAGAGACATTGCCTAAAGCATATATATACTCGTATACATTTAGTTTCAAGGTGTATACATGCTCACACGTTATGCATCATTGCTCAAGCTCCGTTTTCTCTTTTAACTAGTGCTCATACATGTACAATGATAGCAATGCTCATATGAATGTTGACCTTCAAATTTCATCTTTGTAACGAGCTTTTTATCTCTCATGTTCATTGCATGTTAAGAAAGATAGATGGTCATCTAATATTCGCGAGGCCAACAGAAGTAAGAAAAAAAAAGTCAATTCTGCTACCCCCACCTATTCTTGTAATCAATTCCTATATTCGACACGACATGGTCAGCTGTCATTTTATTCTCTATTCTGTAAAAAAAGAAAAAAATTGATCGGTCACGTAATTAAATATAAGAAAGCTTCCTATTTGTCATGGTTCGTCGACGATCATATACATCTATATGGTATGCATAACAATTTAGTAATACGTACTCATATAAATGCGTTCACGAGAGTATACAATGAACAGAGTAAGAGATGTAACAATCCAGTTTCTCTTTTTTGTAATAAATGTGTATAACGGAATTTGATAACTTGATCGACAGTTCGCGTTTTTTTTTCTTATTTGAAGAAGGGCAACAGCCAAGAGCAATTGAGAACAAAAGAATAGAGAGAAAAAAATTCTGAAAAGTATGTTATGTTTGACGATCGAGCACCACCCCATTTCATCTCATTCGGTTAATCGTTCAATTCTTTCCTCTCTTCACACATTTCGACACTTGACAGAGAACAAAATGAAGAGAAAAAAAAGAAGCACAGTATTGGTATGCACATGTCAACAATTTCACTTGTGGTCAGAAGAAATTTGAGAACTTATTGTTAGAAAGACTACCGGTTTAAACAAGAAAGCATAGAGAGAGAGAGAGAAAGAATGAACGAATCAGTGGAAAGAAATGACAAATCCACGCGTACATATACTTGCAGATCAGGATCAGTTTACAAATCATGTACAAGGACAATATTTTACGGATAAAAATACAGATATAGACTTAGACTTTATCGAATAAGTTTTCATTGTACAATGAACATATTTGAACTAAAGATGTTCATCTAGATTTTTAGAAGGCTAAATATAATCTGATTTGTTAATATTAATCAAACAAAAAGTCTTTTTCAGTTCATAGGTTTCCTTTAAATAGATACCATTCTATAAAGATAGAAGTTTTTCATTGCATTTATTGTTCATTACATTGCTTAGGTTAATTATTATATTTAATTGCAAGATAAATGATTATGATCATGTTACGGTAATAATATAGAACGTGTGATGAAGATAAATGAAATCGATTGGAATATACAAAGATTTTATTGAATAATATCAAAAAGTAAATTGTCAGAAAATTAGTTGTGTGCACAAAAAATTGATCTTGACTTAGATACATTGCAATCGTACGAAATTTTCAACTGTACATCATGACGTTTTTGTGAGGTAGTCACTAGGGAACGTTTGAAAATAGCTTGTTTGTTAATGCAAAATTCTTTGTGAGTCTTAATTCTATATACTTAACTTTTTCTTTGTTTGAAAAAGCATGTCAGGATGCAGGGCATGACAGAGTCCTTTTTCAAAATTATACTTTTCCAGGGGAAAAAGGTTCAATGTCTCGAAAGAATAGCATCCTAATTGTAAAAGTACTCCTTTATATAAATAGTAACAAAGCTCAATTCAAAAGAAACGGGTTCTGTTATGCCCTGCATCTTGACATGCTCTTCCAAACAAAAAAAAAGTAGCCATTCACTAAAATGAAGCTCCTTCGAGAATTGCGGCCTGCATTACTGCAAAAAAAAAGAAAAATCTCGATTAGACAATTTAATTGCCCATACGATAAGTATTATATTAATATGACTTCGAAATTATGATAAAATATTTACACAAAGTAACAGTGCTTCAAGGGAGCAGACCAGACCGCCTGTCTGTGTATTTATTTTTGTGATATCAAATTTTTATTTTTGATATTAAAAATATTGTTAGCAAATCGATGCAATGAAGTTAATTTCAAGGATAATATTTAAGTAGGATGAATTAGATAAATATTGAAGAATGAATATTAAAAATAACCATTAACAATAAAATCCATTAAAATTCTACAGAGATCATCAATAAAAATTACCATATTTATTATTATTTGCTCGTCATCTTTTTTTAAATCCTAGTTACTTTAGCTTAAATTGAACAATCTTTTTCTATTGAATGTTTCGTTGTTACTGATTATTGTTGCTTTCTCGACAGTAATATTGTAATCAGCATTTTTGTCTGTCAAATTCATTTAAAATGTTGTTAAACGAAAAACCAGATTCTATTTCTTTATTTTTCTACATATCACCACTTTTTAGTTCATAAGTATTTAATCTTCTGTAAAACTTCTTATTATGAACGCTTCTATAATGTAACTATCTAGTTATAATTAGCATTTCTAATTCTTACCGAATGATTTTGTTGCTTGAGATCGAGCTCTTCTTAGTGAATACCTTCTTAAAGTACACTGTAAACGCTTTTGTTTCATTCTCACCAACTAGAACAACCTGTCTGAAGTGAATGTTGTGTTTTGTTGTATTTCTATTCATAAATATACTCTTATGCACACATAAGAATGAAACTGATCTCAATCTTGAGAGCAAAGTGTGAAAACAAAGCAGAATTGAAGAGTTTTTGTTATACAAAGTTAAAAGAAAGATTCTACAAATACAAAAAATAAGAGAGATTAGTTAAATCCTTTTTATTTAAACACAGAATATAGAAATAGATTTCTGTGAAAATAGATACACACTTTCGAGTAGTGAATTTTAAATTTACTATGGTCGGAGATTATTCATTGGACGGTGTAATGATTAAGATTAGTTCGTGCTTGAAACTCGTCAAATATAGTATGAAAGTCATCATTAATAAGGCGATGGATCTGTTCGAGCTTTTCGAATGTTGTTTAGCGACAAGTATGCTTGATCGTGCTCTACCTTAAACATCTTCTTGATTTTCACAAACTCATTCATATCATTTTTTGATTGTTTTGAGAGGGGAAGACTAGTTACCGATAATAAAATATTGTCTAGCATGCACTTAAATACAGAAGTGAAAGTTTCCCTCATGCAGTAGAATCAGAAGTAAGCATCACACCCGTATTGTCAAGTCTTTATTGTCATTTATGTCGATCTTCATCTTTTTATCTAACAACAATATAAAAACTATATGATTTTTATGATCAAAAATTTCATTCAGCGTCATTATCATATCAACAAATCTAAAAAACTATCTTCTAATCATCATAATATTCAATTTAACTTGATTTCAAGCATACCCATTCATTAGCAAATAATAATTATTTATTCATATTTGAAAAATAGGGATCAACAATGTCATATTATTTGCTTTGTTGTTGTCATCAGTTAACAACTAGTAAATCCTTTCCATCTGAATTATGCAATGTCCAAATGTATTTCTTCAAATGGAAGAACGATCTATCAACAATATACACTTCTAACTTCATTAAAATGTTATCCTTCACAAACACTCACAAATTCCAACTCATCATTATATATAAATTGACACTAACGCTGACGTTAAGAATTAACTCCACATCATACAAAAACCAGTTTTTCTTAATTATTTATTCCTCCTCATTATCTTCAAATTTTTTTCATGGGTAGAATAAAAAATAAAGCCAATATTGACCGTTCAATAGCATCTATATTATATGACATACAAAAACATTTCAATAAAACAATTGATACAATGAGACAATTATTTTCAGAAGTACCAGTGTGATTGCAGGTATAAGCTATTGCTGAATGAACACTCACACCTGAAACATTTGGAGGAAGATACAGGAAAAAAACCTTTTCAAGAATCAAAAAATTATTTTTCTACACGTTTGCATCACCCTTGGAAGATTCCTGACTATGACTATGTTATACAGTTAGAAATCATTCATGACCATGGATTTGTAAGTACCAATATTTAGTTGTCTATTAAATATCTATATTAAACAAAATAGTATGTCTTCGCCTATGAAAACTCAGTAAATCATCAATAACTTCACATTCTCTTTTTTATGGTAGAACTTTAACTAATAGAAAATATGTATTAACATCTAGTCATTGTTTTCATAGTATTAAACCATCATAGATTTTAAGTTATATTTTTGTTATTAGTGCTCAAAATAAAAAATGATACAAATTCAATTGGATATACAATTAGATCTGTTATTTTAAATGATAAATAGAATGATGAAAATTATGAAAATTATATCGTTCTATTAGAATTAACAAATCATGTTGACTTTGATCATCCAGACATGGGATTTATTCGATTATCACGAAAGAATATGTCAATATATCTATATGAATCAATGAATAGTACTGAAATAGTTTGGAGATATCTACAACAAGGTGATTCATCATCTCTTTCTCTTTCACAAGTATAATCACCTATTATACCGCATACAAATACATATTGTCATAATAGTGTAAACAATAATATTATTCAATTATGTCAAGGTTTTATCCAAGCTAGTAAAGATATACGTCAAGGTGATAGGTTAAAAATAAATATTTTTGAACATGACCTTTGATTTCTAAAATGTTATAGTGGCAGACCTTTGATGATTTACGATTCAAAAAGTGATAAATATGATATAGGAGTAATAACTTCATATGGATATGGATATGCAGTAGTAGGATATCTTCGTGTATGTACTCATATGTGTATGTTTGTAAATTGAGTTAGTTCTCATATCAACGATAAAGATTCTATATATCAAGCATCAATTACATCAATAT